CAAATGAAACAAATGAGTACAAAAGTGTTCTCTGGAAGCAAAAAGAATATTGAAGAATGTTGACATGATTTTAGCTCAATATGATTGCTTAGGCTTTCTCTATGATTTCTTGTCTTCATATATGACTCGTAATTTTGTTTATATACCCCCTTCATTCAATTCTAGCCGTTTGTGTTATTGTGGGAGTTAATAGAGCTGTTGGGATGAAATTTCCCGTAATAAATGATGTCCAGACACCTTGAGTATTGGTACTCGGACTTAGAGTATCGATACTGCCTAATACAAAAATCTAGTCGTTGGTGAGAGAGGAGTATCAGTACTCCACTTAGAGTATCGATACTAAGAAGAGAGTATTGGTAAAAAATAGTATACTAAAATCGGTGTTTGTCAAAAACTTAAAGGGAGTATCAGTACCAATATTGATACTACAGTGCATTTTTACACGTTAGTATCAGTACCACATACATATTATCGGTTATGTTCTTGCAGTATTGGTACTCTAGGGTTAAAAATTGATTTTTGACTTGATTAAATCCGAAACCCTTTGTAAAAAATGTTTGAAAATTATTTCTAGTATATAACTTGAATTTTCAAAAAAGTAAGGAGTAAAGATGGAGTTCTTGACTTTTAAAAAGAATTTTTATATTTGAATGGTTGAATCAAATATAAGCTTGAAAATTGAATTAAAAATAATCTTAAAATTTCTTTAAACTTATTTACTTTTGGTATATCAAAATCTCAAAGCATGGTTAAATAATGTTTAATGTGATCAAACAAAACCATGGAAATACTCATAGTGTACATTCTCTTACCTATCCCTATGACGAATAATGTAATACACAAGATGAGCTTAATTACTCTTAATAAATTAATAACTTAGGCTTTGGGTGGTCTTAGTGAGAAAGACTTGATAAATTTACCAATATTTTGCTGAATATCTATTCTTACTACGTTCATAACACATTGTTAAGTGGGTAGTCTTAATCACGAAAGACTATGTGAACTTACCGCTATAAAGGTTGAGTTTTCTTAAAACTCTTAATGAATTCAAACCCATGAGGGTGTTCCTAGCGAGAATGACGTATTAATTCGCCGACTATTGAGGTTGAATATTTATTCTTAATGATTTCTTATCCTAGAGGTTGGGTGGTTCATTTAAAATGAACTTGAAGAAATTCACCTTACCTATATGAGAGAAGGGGTTGTTATAAAAGCTCTTAATTATTTCATATATCGGTTTTGGGTAGTTTATGTTGAGATAAACTTGATGAAATAACCTACGTAAGTGACAAGGATTAGCTACCTTCTATGAAAAACATTGGGTCGTTTTTCTAATACACTTACTATAATCCTAAAGAAAGAAGGCTACTTGTATATACACATTCGTATATACTCTTTGTAGACACATCGAGGATTTCGGTGGATGAAGAGGTTAGTTGTGTGTTATGAGTTAACTCTACTCTTAAAAGTTCAAGATTCGTTTACTTATCTAATAGAAGAATTATTCATCGTCACTATTTTCTAGCTCCAGATACGTTTACTAGTGCTTAAGCATCTAATCTCGCAATTGTTCTTCTCTCGTTTTTAAATTTGAAACCCTTTTCTTTTCAAAAGAATTCTTTCATATTTTGTGGGGGAATGTTCGTTGTGCTTAAGGACACTTATACCACATTGGGAGGAAACATCCCTTGTGAAGGGTATTTAAAGAGACTCATTCTCCTCTGCTTGTTGAATTTGGATAAGATACTTATTTGCATGTGCATCCCACCACTGTCTATCAGGTCGGTCGGTCAGCTTAACTCGTGGTCGCGGTCATGATCGTGGATAAATATTCTTAGTTAGACTTGTTGGTTGTTCTTAAGGACACTTATCCAACATTGGGAGGAAACATCCCTTGTGAATGGTATTTAAAGAGACTCAATCTCCTCTCTTTGTTGAATGTGGATGATAAGATACTCCCTCGCACGCGAGCTGGCCGTCTAGCTCAGCTCGACTTGTGGTCGTGGCAACACGTCCGTGTGCATTCTATCATTTTAGAGAAAATACGATAATTTAATTGTTGTATTTTTCCATTATTAGCTGGCTGACAGAGAATAAATCAAAATTTAATCTATTGTGAATTTACAGCTGTAACAATTGTTCCTTTCTGGACATTTGACTTATATATTTTCACAGTTGAACTTAGACAGTTTTGAGGCTACATTTGAACCTTAATTTGTGTAGACAATAGATTAATTGTTGATTTTATTAGGAAAATTAAGGAGCCTTAATTTCAACTGATATAATAGCTTGTTTAACAGATATATTTTTTAGGACGAATCTGGATTGTTTTGTGTCCAGGTTTAACCAGCTATTAACAGAAAAATTACATAATTAATTACGTGATTAATTCAGAAATAAACCAATGTTTAAAAATGATTCCTTTTTATGTTTTTACCTCTTCATTCAGCCTATAAATCGAGATGATTTTTCTCATTTTCAAATCATTCAATTCTTCAAACCATTTTCTCTCTTTTACAAACTCTCTCAAAAGTTGTCTTATTTTCTGGTGAGAAGAGCAAGTTCACCATTGTCCACTCTGAAAATTTAGGTGTACGAATTTTCTAAGAGTCGTGATAACCTTTGGGGACGACAACCTATAGCAACGATTATACACATCGAGACGAAATTCGTTGGGTGTTCGAATTTACTGTTTATACCACGACACGATTGTTTAAATTTACTGTTTTATTGTTTTATTAATTTTCAGTCAATGCTAACGATTTCATTTTGCAGTCTCTATTTCCGATAAAACTTATTCATAAACATGTGCGAAGGCAATTCTTGTTAAGTAAAGAATTCATGGGGCGTTTTCATCCATATTTAAGCATGCCGATATTAATGCATTCAATATTCAAACCACAAAATTAATTGCTGTAAAAGAAATAACACTGGAAAACTGCAGATTTAAGGTTATGCAATTGTTGGAATAATTCAAAGTCAAAAACAAAGAAAAATGCAGTTTTATAGAAGTAAACAGTTTTAAAATTTGGGTATTGAAGATTAAGTGCTTTGTAGTATTTGAAAATATGGGCTTATTTAATGAAAATGAAACTGACAGTAGAGTAACAAATGTCACAAACTCATATACTATTGGAGGTGTAAAATTGAGTGTTTAAATAGTAATGAATCTGATGACAAACCCTAAATGAACCTATTGATAATTATATTAATAAATATGTTTGTGAATATTTACGAATATATACATAAACACGTTTGTGAATACTAAACGAACAAAACACTTTTAAAAATAAGTAAATGAACACAAATACAATCATATTTGATCGAGAATGCATTACAATTAGTCGGCGAGCAGTAAGCTGAACAGAGCTGCAAAAGGAAAGTTCATTGTGAAACCCATAGTTAAAAATAAATTGAAAATGAATTACTTGGGATACATTAAAGATATGAATACGGTCGGTCGGTCCACCTATAAAAAATTTAAATCAAAATAAAATATCAATGACGAATCTCTGTCTAATATTTATATAAGACGAAAATTTCTCAAAATTTATAGATTCTTTACTATTAAACTAATGTGTGCTTTGTCGGAGATCAAATAACTTAACTTATAATTAAATATTATACTTGGATTTGTTAATAATATGTTTGCATGTCATTGCGTCAGCAGCAACAAGTTTGGTAGTTAAAATAATCGGCACGTGCTTTGAACTTTCCTTCATTTTATGCAATAAACAATTGGAATCTAAAAGCAAAGGCAAATCCCTGGAACTGCACCCATCATTTCTCAGAAATTAAATTGCATGCGTTGAACGAATTGACAAGCTTTTACCCTAAATTTCACTCATTTTGTTGACCCTCCAAGTCAACCCTAAACATGTTTTGTCAACGTTGACATCAATTTACATTAGTCGATTTAGAATATATTACTTCATAGGGGGAGAAATAAACAACCGTAGGTTCCTTGACATATTTCAAATTATTACTAATTTTCCTTTAATTTCATTATTATTCGATAGAGTCGAATGATTTTAATTAAATTCAAACTTAGACATTCAAGAATTGAAGATCAAAATCTTATCATTATATGAATAGATCAAGAGAGGTATTGGGAGGTGGATCAACCTCTGAAAATTTTAAACTACTAAATAGTTCTTTTTATATAACTAACATGAGCCAAAAGCAAATTTACTAGAACATAATTGCAAATTAATTTCACTATAGTCTTATATTGGTTTTTAGTTAAACAAACTAACATGCTTGCGTGATAGATGGTTGACTTTCACATTGGAAAGACTTTACGCATATCAGGTTTAGGTAGCTTTTCATGATAGTCAAAATAAAATGTCATATTATAATTTTGATCAGTCTACTAGGTTTATATTTGAATTTTAGTTCATTTAATTTAATATAATATGATCTTCTGTTTCTATAACGTAGTTAGCCAGTCCAGATAGATAATAATATTGTTAATTATTTCAGTTAAAATTTTAATATGTTTTTTTTAAAGAAAAAAAGTTCATCATTCCGACATGGATATTTTTGTGATAGAAGCTAGTACCTTTTAAAATATTAAACTATGTGAAATCAAAGTTGAGGGACCAAAACCAAAATAGAATAAGCTTTGATTTTTCCTTCTCTTCTCTTATCTTTCTATAAAAGTCATAACAAAATCTTCTGATTCATTTACTCAAGTTTTAAAGTAACACTTGGAGAATCTCCTGGAAATTTCTGGGTATCAACCCAGATTCATCACTGAAATTTCCTGTCCAATCTGCACGGCTTCAAATCAGGAACAAAATATTTTTTTTAAATAGCAATTTTATTGAATCCGTTACCTTATTACAAAAGAACATTAATACATGTCCTAATATGTTTTAACATGCTTTTCTGAATAATTCTACGGAAGGTCAATAAAAAAAAAATTTTACAACTTATTTGGAGATGATATCGCCATAAAAAATGATTGAATTTTGATGGAAAAAACATTAACAATGTTATCAGGGTTCTTGTTGACGAGCTTGCACGATGAATGTAGTGTTTTTGCTTGAATTTACAGCCTCCAGATCCACCAAGTTCTTAATAACAGCATCGGTTGCAGTGTTCAAGAAACCCGACCAATCCCTGCATATCGAAAGAATAACAAGTCATTGCATGTTCTTACATTTTTTTTATCCCGACTTGACTTTAGATTTAATTAGAGTTTAATGTGATTATCGAATATCGAGAGTCTCGGATTCAAAGGAGCATTAGAAGCTATATTTCATACCCTTCTAAAGTATCAAATGCAAGTCCGACGGTGTATTTAGCCTCCTCGAGAGCCCAACTAAACCTCTTGAGTTGCTCAGCCGAGCGAGTCCCGTAATCGACAACCTGAAGCTGAGACGGCTTCACGTCGCAAAATATCGGTATAACCCTCTTCTTGCTCTCCATCAACAACGCGAGCTCGTGCAGGCAAAAGTACGAGTCGCAGTAATTCGGCGAAAAGATCGCCACGCCGAGTTTACAGCTCCGTATCGCCAGATCGATCTTTCCGAACAACTTGTCCCCAGGCTTCATGTTCATGCTATCGAGGAAAGGCCTTTTCCCCAGCCTGAATAAATGGTCGTGCAGCAACCCGGCAATGGTTCTCTTCGTATCGATCCCCCGATGGTTGATGAAGATATCGCAGAGGGGCGGCGGCAGCGGCGCCACTGCTCGGGATCGAAGGATCTTGCGGCTCAGGTTCTTGGCTGATGAAACACAACGTTGCTGCATGATGACTCCTGCCTTTGAGAAAGAAAGAAAAAATAAACAGGATTGAACGTGATATATACTTCTGTTTGATAGTTTCTTAAGAAGATCTAGCTAGAGAGATATGCCTAATTGCCTATATATATACACATATATATGTGTTTTAAAATTTGTTTATTTGGTGAAAATTTTGATTTCCAAGCTAAGAATTTTATAATTTTCTACGGTAAAAACAAAAAATACAAAAAAAGAAAAGAAAAAAGAAAAAAGAAAATTAGAAAGGAAAAGGCCTAATTGAAATAATCCTTCATTATTTTCACTTTCATTTCTATGACTACTCATATTATTTTAACTATATATAGATTAGTTTAAATCAGATACTCCGAATGTTTATTATGATGGCAGTCCACCTAGTCAAATTTGTTTCTAACATTTTACTTTACCCAAAAGATCTATGGTTTATTACGAATAAACTAAATTTTGCACAGGTCTTCTTATTTGAATTTTAAAATCTAGAGTTAATACCCTAAATTTTAAACACAAACTCTAAACTTTAGATAGTACACATAATATTAAAATAAACTATATAATGTATCATGTATAACATATAAATTCTTTTAAATAAACAATTAAAATCACATTTTTTTAAACATTAAACATGTGTTTAATAAGATTTACGTATAAATTCTTTATCATTACATCAATAATCATAAACGTTACCAAATCTAAAGCTGATTCTTCTTTTTATATTAACTTAGCAATGAAATTCAAACTTGAAGTCGTAAGGGGGACGAACCTTAAAAATGAAGGACAAAACGAATTTTATTAATTTTTATTTATTTATTTATTTTTGCATTAATCATGCAAAACTTCCATTTACGTGAATGCGAAAAAGATAGTTCACTTGCATTCAAATCTCGTTATAATTAAGAAATTAATCCATATATAAGAACTTGTGTTGCACATGGTTCAAATTTCCATCTATAAATAGCAGCTAGGTAGCCGCGCTTTTAATGTCCAATACCATATGAAAGCGTTCAAATTTACCATTTCGAAATTAATAATAGCATTATTGCTGACCAATGCAATCTATATATATCAGCACTTGTGTTTCGCATGGTTCAACCATTAATTTATAAGGTTCTTATAATTAAGCGGACCTTCACAAATAGTACCCCGAAGTTTAAGTGTGAATTATGGTATGATTTAGGGATTAATTTATAGATTAAACCTATTGTAAAGTGAATGAAGTTTACTACATATGCCATGAACAAACATAAGATTTTATGTTATGATTCAAACTTTTAGAAAGTTATATTAAAAAATTAGAGAGTGACCTAAGAATGAACATGGATAAGATTGGACTGGGTTTTGGGTCGACCCGAGTATTCTACCTTGTCACCTGACTCGGGTTTAAGGAGGCTCCACCTGACTGATTTTTTTTAGGTAAAACCAGCATCAAACCTATACATATACATATATATATATTATATATATATATATATATATATATATATATATATATATGATATTGCAATGGTCCTTCGGGTGGTCCCGGATTCTCGTCTCGACTTGGATTGAGTGATGGAGTCGCCATCGATCGTTTTCGAATTAGGTAGATCGGACACCTTAAACTTACCAATTACTAGATTTGCACCTTACCAGAGAATTGTCGGATTCGGGAATTGATTACAATCGACGAAGGATGAGCATCCTCAAATTGCCCTTTCGGTAACACACGATTACCCGGTTATCTTAATTACGAAATTTGGGATTTAAATAAAAACTTAAAAAATCCGATCTGAATTACTTACCTTTGAGAGTTGATATTGAAAAATAAAATAAAGTCCGATTATGAAAAAAACAATGTGAGTCTAATCTTTAAACAAAGATTCTTCTTTTACTGCTCTCAATCTTCGATTACAATGCTTTGAGTGACTCTCTTCTTCTTCTTTCTTTTTTCTTTCCTCACACCAAATTACAAAATAAGAGTGTCTATTTATAGGCTCCCAAAAACTCCAAAAGCCAAAAACCCTAGAATCTTTTCATTAATGTTAAATACACTAATTAAGAAAAGTAATATTAACATAATGAAAAGATCCTAAATTGCCTTAAATAAATAATGGAAAGTAGTAGAAAGTTGAATTTCTTCACAAATAATTAATAAAATAATTGAAAATTCAAAAAAATGAGCATATCTTGAGTTTTTGATGTTCGATTGAGGTGTTGCAAAATGCGTTAGAAAGCTAACTGAAAGTCAGCTATATCTCAAGAAGAATAATGTCTTGAAAACATTTGGATCTTGCTTGAAATTTGTTGCAAGTCAGCTAATGTCCCGAACTTTTGACTTCAATAAAATATTTTGGGCCTTGGAAAAAGGTAGACCGGACAAAAACCAGGCATTACAGATGCCCCTCTTTGCTCATTGGCGTGTAACGCGAATATACACGCCAATAGAGCAAAGATAAAAAAAAGTAACTAATTTTTGTTCAGTTAACATAGATTCATTCCATGGTGATATCATTTTCCTTTAACCTTTGGTCAATATGCTCTTCCACTTTATCTGCATCTTTAAGAAAGATTGGGCCTTTTGAGTCCATTCTAAGGTCTTTTTTACATCTTCAAGTATATGGGTTTGAAAATCTTCCACTGGTTCACCTTGGTCTCAAAGTAATTGAATCTACAAAAAATCAATAAAATTATTAGTTAGTGTGTCTGTGAATATTAAAGTTTGTTTTGGATGATTACTTCTTCAGGATGGATATCCTCCATCGCGGAGTTGAGTGTGAAAGTTTTGGATGACAGATAGTTCTTCTTAACTTAAGATATGTTGTGGGTGACCCCTCTATCATTAGTTCAGTCTTGTGTGACTTGATATCGATATTCTTCGCCGCGAAGTTGAAATCTTTGCTCAAAATCTGGACTGAGAAATAGTTCATTGTTGCTAAATCACAGTCAGTCTTGGGTTTTCTTCTAAACTTAAATACCTCGGTTTTAATTTTGACCAGAAGATAGTTCATTGTTACTACCATGCGGTCAATGCACTTTCAAGTTGAGTATCGTTCATCGTGGAACTGAACTTGAAGGCTTTGGTCAACATGTAGCTCTTCTCGACTTAATCTATGTCAAAATATAGGTTGGGAAATAATTCCTTGTAGCTAAATCGTAGCCAATGTTGATCTTTTTCTATACTAAAAGGCCTCAGTTTGAATTTTGACTGAAAGATAATTACTCGTTGCTACCATGCAGTCAATGTGCTCTCGAGTTGAGTATTATTCATCGTGAAACTAAACTTGAAAGCTTTGGTCGATAGATAGCTCTTCTCGACTTAAGTTATGTCGAAATCTAGGCTGGGAAGTTATTCCTCGTTACTAAATCACGGCCAATTTTGGGTTTTCTTCTGGACTTGAAGACCTCCATTGGGAAATATCCCATCGTAGTTGAGTTGTGTTTTGAGTGCAATATCCTTCATTATGAAGTTGAAACTGACTCGAACCATTTGCAAAATTATGCACATACAGGTAATGTTATGAATGTAATGCTTTTGGGAATGCCTAAAATGTAGAAAATTAGCTCCTCATTGCAATTTGAGCTAAATTGTGGACGCATCTGTTGCGAGTTAAGTTAAGTCAAGAAAATGTCTCAAGTGAGATGGAATTTTTTAAGAGAAAATATGTCAAGTGAGATTTTGTTTCAAGGGAAACTACCTCGAGTGAGACAAAAATTTTCAAGGTAAAATATCTTAAGTGATATGAAGTTTTGTTTCAAGTGATATGAAATTTTTTAAGGGAAAATATCTCAAGTGAGATGAAATTTTATTTTGAGTGAAACTATCTCGAGTGAGACGAAGAGTTTTCAAGGGAAAATATCTCAAGTGAAATGAAATTTTGTTTCGAGAGGAAATGTCTCGAGTGAGATGAAAATTTTCAAGGGAAAATATCTCAAGTGAAATGAAATTTCCTTTCGAGAGAAACCGTCTCAAGTGAGACGAAAATTTTCAAGGGAAAATATCTCAAGTGAGATGCATTTTTTGTTTCAAAGAGATTGTCTCAAGTGAGAATAAATTCGCTTTTGAGGAAAACTATCACAAGTGAGTTTTTTCAAGAGAAATTGTAACTAGCGAGATGAATTTTGTTTTAAGAAAACTATCTCAAGTGAGATAAAATTTGTATTTCGAGGGAAAAGTGAAACGATCTTAAGGAAGACAAAGATTTTTGAAATTGTTTTTAAAGATATCCTCAAGAGAGGAAAAATTGATCTTAAGAAAGTTTATATTCAATTTAAAGATGTCCTTAAGAAAGGAAAATGGTCTTGAGGAAGAAAAATTTTTGGAAACAAAATTTAATAGAACATCAAGAGATTGAAAATGATCTTAATAAAGATAAATTTAAAAGTTTTTCTCATAGGAGAAAAGTGATCTTAATAAACAAAAATTTTGAGAATATCCTCATGAATGATGAATGTTTAATGTGAATATGTCAATGATGCAAGTGCATGCTTTCATTAATGATAATGATTTAAAGGTGTATGGGAAGTTTTCATTCTCGAATTCTTCAATCTTCCTCACTATTTCACTCTAGTGAGTCAGTGTAATTCTTGGCTTGTAAAAATTTGTTCCTCATGCCCCAACAAACTCTTGCCATAATGTTTATTCTTTTTGCCCCTACATTGATCCTAAGTTTTCATATCTGAGAGCCATTTTTCAAATTTTAAGATACATTCCCAGAGAGATTATCTTGTGTGAAAATGTTTTTCTTTTTTTAAATGTGTTTTTTTTAAGAAACAAAATTATGCCCCTTGTTTTATGTTCACAATTGATGCAATTAGTAAAACATGAGTTCATAAAATATCAAAAATATCAAATGTTCTTTTAATATTTCAAAGTTATAGTTCTTTGACAAGTGTCAAGACTAATGGTAACAGTTGATTTGGGAAAAGTTTAGATCAATTTCGTTTTTGAAGGGATTCATTGGTTTGATGATCATGTACACTAGTTCCATGCGTTCAGATATACCTTTAAGATT